ATGTGGTGATAATCCAATTGCGTATGCGTCTAGAGCGCTCACTAAGACTCAGTCAAATTATTGTCAGATAGAACGAGAAATGCTAGCCATAGTTTTTGGTTGCACTAGATTTCACCAATTTATTTTCTCTAGGAAAGTAACTGTTGAAACTGATCACAAACCCTTAGAATGTTTGTTTAGGAAGCCCATTACTGCTGCTCCTTTAAGATTACAGCGAATGATGCTAAAAGTTCAACGCTATGACTTAATTGTTGTATACAAGCCAGGTAAATTGATGTATATAGCTGATACACTGTCACGTGCAGCACTTCCAGTAGAAGGTAAAGAAGATATTGATGTTTTAGATGAGGACATCATTTGTGAGGTAAATATGTTAAAATCTTATCTTCCCGTGTCTGAAAGTAAACTAAACCTGCTAAGAGAAAAAACCAGTTCAGATGAATGTCTAGGTATTTTAAAGATGTATATATCTAAAGGTTGGCCTCAAAAGCCTGAAGTCAGTAATATGGTTTTACCATTTTGGAGTATTAAACATGATCTTCATGTTGTAGATGATCTTGTTTTCAAAAATCAATCTATTGTTGTACCTAGTTCACTTCATAAAATGATGCTTGAAAGTTTGCATTGTGGCCATGTAGGAAAACAAACATGTGAGATTAGGGCACGCAATTTATTGTATTGGCCCACCTTACATAAGGACATTGAAAGTTTTGTAAATAAATGTAGTGTTTGTGCTAAGTTTAAGCCTATGAATGCAAAAGAACCGTTGTTGTTTCATGATGTACCAGATTTGCCTTGGCATAAAGTGTCAGGTGACATTTTTGAGTTTGATAACCAATATTTTCTTGTACTAATGGACTATTATTCTAAATATATTGAGTTAGTATCTTTGTCAGACATTACTTCAAAAACTGTAATCGAGAAATGCAAATCAATATTTGCTCGCCATGGAATTCCTGTTACTTTAGTAGTTGATTCAGGAAGTCAATTCACTTCTAACGCTTTTCACGAGTTTTCTGTGTTGTACGATTTTAAGCTAGTGATAGTTAGTCCAAAACACTCTCAATCTAATGGTCAAGCTGAGTCAGGTGTCAAAATAGCGAAAAATTTACTGAAGAAAACAAAAGAATCTAAGTCTGATGTGTATCTTGCATTGTTAAGTTATCGTAACACTAGTAAACAATATCAACCTTCACCAGCAGAGTTAATGTTTAGTAGAAAACTCAATGGCCTATTGCCACTGTCTAAAAGTAGTTTGCAGCCTAAAGTAACAAAACCTAACAAAATTTTGTCAGACAAGAGAAAAGATTGTATTAAAAAGTACTATGATAGAAATAGCAAAGAGTTACCCTCTTTAAATGTAGGAGACAAAGTGTATTTTAAGAAAACTGTTGATTCACCTTGGACATCAGGAAAAGTAGTAGAAAAAAATAGAATCCCCAGATCCTATGTTTTGTCTGATGAGAAAGATAAAATGTTTGTAAGAAATAGGAAGATGATTAGGCCAGATTTGTCTAATGATACAGGTAATGAAACCATAATGCCTGAAACAAGTCCTAAGTCGGATTCACAAATCAGTTTGTCAGGTACTAATGGTAATAGCCTTATTTCTCCGCAAAGTAGTCCAGTGTTGTTTCAAAGACCAGTAGGCCTAACTCCTAGAATTTCATCAGAAGAACAAATTGTTAAAAGTTTCGATGGTTGTGTAAGCCGAAAGGGTAGATTGATAAGAAATCCAAAGCGGTTGTCTTATGATTAGGTTTTGGTGTATATTTTGTTAGACTTGAAAGGAAAATGTTAAAGTTGTATTTTGGAAAGTTAAAATTTTCAATTTTGTAAAAGAGAGGGGATGTTGATATATGTATATAGTGAAGTCCATGTTTAGAGGTATTACTCTTTGGTCTTTGTGTATTCTCTTTTAAGTGTATTTGATTTCCAATTCAGAATAAAATATGTCGGCTCATTAACTGCAGCCTAAATGTATTTCTGTCGATGTTAAATACAATTTATAATAAATAGTATTGAAACTTCAATTGTGTTTTTATTTAAAACATGAAACAGTCGGTGTCTTTGATTTTAAAACATGATCGGTGACGCACAGAGTTTTTTTTCCGGGTATTGAAAAGTTAGACAAACCGGAACACTGTGTTTTGTACATATACAAAAATGTATTTAAGTCATTTATAATCAATAAATTGTAAATAAGATCAATAAAAACATCCGTGTTGGATATTTTTGGGTATTACTCCTGGGTAAGAAACACATCCAAATATGATATTTAAGCTGCCCGGAAGTCCTTAGTTACTCAAAAATCTGTCATTTTGTCTTTATTACTTATTAATTGTTTTCTCTAAGGTGGTGAAAGATACGAGGTTGAAACGTTACTAGACAAAGCTACAACAAAATTATGAACGTTTTTAAAATTTACAAAACGAAATGGCGGCCATTTAAAAATTTGATTCTTAAATAACTAAAAAACCGTTGATTTTACAAAATCTTTACAAGAATAACTTTTTTAAGGCAGTTTAATTACAAATCGATTGACCCCTTATATTTTAAGATTAGATGAACATTACTTGAGATATGGCAGCTTTACCGCCAGGCAGACGTGATATTTATAATATTCATAGTAAAAAAACTATTTTGAGTAACTAAGGACTTCCGGACAATTTAAATATGATATTTGGATATGTTTCTCACCCAGGAATAATACCCTAAAATATTTGACACAAATTCTGAAACACCCTAGATTTTTATAGGCCTATAACTTATACAGTATATATATAGCCTAGGCCTATGTCCGTGAACCCAATAACTTGAATAATTTTGGTCTGATTTTGTTTGCCAACCAGCATGATCGGACCATGGGAACGGGGCTTTACGGGGGTTTTATGGGGGAAAAATAGTTTTCCTCATTTTTGACCATCAAAACACAAAATTTGCCAATTTCTCTTTGGACTTTTTTTAGAGAGCCTAAAAAAAAACAAATAATTAAGTAATATAAAAGTGTTTTTGTACTGTTATTGATAACGGAGAATATTGTAAAATGTTGTAGTTTGCTTGTTTATGGATATATTTTGATCAAACTTGGCAAATGTAACTTACCTATATTATTTTATACTAAGCTTTTAATATTCGCAGATGATACGCGTCTGGTAACCGGAAGTGGATTAGGCGTCCGGCAGTTACTGTCATCTTAACCTAACCTAACCAACCAAACTTGCTGATGATGAAAAAATTGAATGAAGGTTAAATTCTGTTCATGAAATAAAATTATAAATGCCAAAAATTTCAACAAAAGATGTAGGCCTACAGTTAAGAAGAAATGGCATCCAAAGCAAAATCATTGACAAAAAGTTAAAGTTAGGTACCGATGGGATTCAAACCAGGGACCACTCGCACATCAGCTGAGCACTCTATCCACTACACCACGAACACCGATGGCTATACATCGTATTGTTGTGGTAAAGTCTTTCCGGGTCCCCACATCCCGGTGACGTCACTGCTGGAAGTCCAATCCACGTCCGGTTACCGGACGCAAATCCTCTTTGTTTAATATTTTACCAAAAAACACACTTAAATAGTTTCCTTGTAGCAGCAAACCTAAGTACTCATTAAAAACCTGAATGTCATTTAAATAGATTTCATTGAAAATCAATTCAGACAAATGGAAATTTGCTTAGTCAACAGGTTTGCTGTGGCGGGGGTATTTGGTTAAACCAAGGTTAGGTTAGTTTAAGATATGTTAAGTTAGTTTAAGATATGTTAAGGCTAGTTATTATGATAAAAACACATTAAGAGTAAAAAAGCCGATTTTTAAGTTAGCGCTTTATGCAATTTTTGGGGTGAAATAGGCGTTTGCCCCAAAAGTGCCTAATAGAAAAAGTGTTCAAAATAGGCCAAATAATGGGTCTTACTGTTTCTTAACTGGGCTATGCTAATATCGATTGAAACTATCGATTCAATTAGTACACTTTCATGCGATTTTTTCACCATCAGCAAGTTTGGTTGGTTAGGTTAGGTTATGATAGTAAAATTTTATAATAGATATATTTAAAAATATCGATTACTAAACAATATTTTCAATTCGATAGTTTCAATCAATATTACCATAGCCCAGTTAAGAAACTGTACCCCAAATGATGAGAAAAAATACTTTTTTTAATTCGTTAGAAGTCCCTAAAGTAAACAAATAGGCCTACCGTACCCTAATGGTAGCCTAACGAAGAAACTTAATTCACTGGAATGACATTTAAAATGTATTAGATTGAACAAAAACTGGATGGTACTTTTCAATTCAGCGTGCAAAATACTTACCGTAAGAAAAACCATCAAAATAAAAGAGTATTAGGGGGTAACCTATAATAGGTAGGCCTACCACTGGAACACGACCTCTAAGTTATACATATGTATGTAGGATATAAGTTAACAATAAACAAGCTAGGCCTAAGTTAAATGTAATGATAGGCTAGGCCTACTTAGTCTTGTATTCTCCAAAGAAAGTTACCTAGTTATTGCTAACTAATATTAGCAATTAAGAGCCTAAAACAACTGTTCTTGATTGTGTTGTATCATATAGGAACTTAATTAACTTATTATAGGCCTACAACAAACTTAATTATAGGTCTCTAAGCTACTAAGTACATAATTAAATTAAATCTCATAAGACAAGATAACATTTTGCATTTTATCACTGGATTTACTTTAATTCACATGTTTAAAAAAATATAAGAAAACTATCTTCATTCATATTGTGGTCATAAAAATGGTAACTTGGTCTTTGGGCTAGAGGTTAGTTCTGTCTGGCCTGGCCAAACGTTTTCTTTCTCCAGGAAACAACTGCCTGGATGAATACAGAAAAAATTATAAACCCCCTATTAATATTTTGTGAGGGGGCATTAAAATTATCTATCTAAAAATCATGCAGGTAATTTGGTCTAGCGAAGAACAAAACAGATAAGCAGTTATATTAAATCCACTGGAACAACACTCGGACTTACCCATTTCTACAACAATTCATGTTGATACAAACAACCGGGACAAAAGAACATAATATTTATACTAGAAATTAAATCCGACAATAACCAAACACTTTTTTGAAAACAACTTTAACTAATAATAAATCAAAACTAAAAATATAAATATACACAACGCAATGTTTGTTCACATTACGTATTGTCTCCACTTATTCATTCTGTTAATCTGTTTTTTTTCTCGTTTTCTGTTCTGACTGTTCTGAGTGTTCTGTCTGTTAGTTGTTTGTTGTTTACACAAACAAGTAACTAATGTCAAAGACGCATAATATGATCAATGAGCCAACAGTATATTTGTTCAGATCATATAACATTAAAGGTTTATTTTTCAATTTATGAGTTTCCTTTTTTTAGCAATCCTTCTGTAAAGTATACATAGTTAATAAATAAATACTTACTTGGATACTTGTATTCTAATCCTTGACTGACTATTGTCAGATAGATTGCGTCATGTCTTTTAAGAATTTAAAGACTTGATTTATTTTTTTTAATACTATAATAAAACTATCATTTACAACTGGTGGTATGGCGGACGTTTTTATTGTGAAGGGAAGAGTGGTGCCTCATTCAGCTCCCCCAGAGAATATAGTGACCTATTCACGAGGGCCTTATGTAAAACGTTTTTAAATTGTTTCATGCCCATCTCTCGAACTTGCAACGGCAGCGTGTTGAACATTTTTATGGCTGACCTAGGGTAGGTCTTCAAGGTCCGTTCGAGTCGACAGCGCGGAAGGTCTAAATCCTGAGCTCTTCAAGTGCTGTATAGTTATGCTGATCTTCCCTTTTCATGAAGTCGTCCCTATTTTCTTTCAGGAGAGTGAGTATGTTGTAAACATACTGACTGTACACTCTGAGGATCTTCAGTTCTCTAAAGATAGGCCGGCAATGCTCATAATACCCAGATGATGTGATGACTCTGAGTGCCATCTTTTGGAGTAAGAGAACATTCCTTGTAGCAGGAGAATGTCCCCACAGTATCAATCCATACATCACGTGACTATGGAAGAGAGCATGATACTAATAATAATAGCATAACTCTTCTTCAAGAGAGAATTTAACTCCATTGATTTATTTATTTATTTATTTCCAACGGAAAACAAATTACATTGATACGTATACAATAATCAAGGCAAGCTATGTTAATTCTATAAATATTCAACAACAACAAACTTTATATACAATAGTATAAATTAATACAGCAAAAAATGTGTGTATACAGGGTGTCCATAAAAAACGTTTCAGGACTTTGGGAAATGAATCCCCATACTAAAAGGAAGAAAAAAGTTTATGGGAAGGTATGTCCGAAAATGCATATTAACCCAGATATCCGCCATTTTGTTTTTTATACAAAAATATTTTTATCTGTGAAGTTTTTTATTCGACGATTATGAAATTTGGTATACATGTTAATATACACAAGACCTATAATAGAAAAAATAACAAAGTTGTTCCGATTGTAAATTTCAAAATGGCGGCCGTTTGAATTTTTCTAACTTAAATAACTCAGAAACGGCTAATTCTATGAAACAATGTCAAGAATACTTTTTTTTAGCATTTTTAATTTTATATCAAACGATATCAAGATCAAAAAGATCGGACAAAAGATAACTGAAATATAACGTTTTTTGTGTAAAAATAAGGCAAAAATTAAGGGTTCCTCTACTAACTTTGCCTTATTTTTACACAAAAAAACGTTATATTTCAGTTATCTTTTGTCCGATCTTTTTGATCTTGGTATTGTTTGATAGGAAATTAAAAATGCTAAAAAAAGTATTCTTGACATTTTTTCATAGAATTAGCCGTTTTTGAGTTATTTAAGTTAGAAAAATTCAAACGGCCGCCATTTTGAAATTTACAATCGGAACAACTTTATTATTTTTTCTATTATAGGTCTTGTGTATATTAACATGTATACCAAATTTCATAATCGTCGAATAAAAAACTTCACAGATAAAAATATTTTTGTATAAAAAACAAAATGGCGGATATCTGGGTTAATATGCATTTTCGGACATACCTTCCCATAAACTTTTTTCTTCCTTTTAGTATGGGGATTCATTTCCCAAAGTCCTGAAACGTTTTTTATGGACACTCTGTATAATAACCATTAACAAGTGATGTTGATCTTACATTATTGATTTGATCATGCAACAATATAACAACAAATAAATATTTCAAATTGTCAACAAATATAAATAATTTAACTGTTGAACAAGTAATAAATACTATAATTGCCAACGAAAAAGATAATCTTTAAAATGTTAAACAATGGTACAAGTGCCTTGTTACATTATCATTGTTGCAGGCTGCAGAGCTCGTTGCGACTTTCAGCAATTTTCTCTTGACTACTGTTTGGAATCCCCCTTTTTGGTATTATATGTCTGCCGTATTGATACTGAAGTCATTGTGCTACCATTATCTTCTCTCTTCTCTATTATCTTCTCATAAGATATAGCCTATAATGCGAGCACCAACTATAATGCAAACATCACCCTGAATAGACTCCAGAAACTTGGGAACAAATAAGTCTCCATCTCATTGACTTTTTCACTGAGAGTTCTATAGAAAATATTATCTATCATTGACTATATATATATAGTCAATGATAAATAATACACTTCTTATGGAAAATAAAATGGCATAGTTTTGCGTGAGGGGTGCAAGGGGACGCCTTTAATTAATTTAAATCTGAATATTTTAATCAGTCTGCCATCGTCAAGAAATGGCAACGCTATGCTATATTATTTGTAAGTACATGTAAAGTATAGAGTTTTCCGTCAATAAAACAAATAAATAAATTTATTGCCAACGGATTTACACAATTTTTCAGTTAAATTACATATTGTGAGTAAGCTCATTATGACTAAATAGCCTAATAATGGTATAGCCAAGAATAAGCAAGCATTGAGTAAAAATACCTAAGGTAACGAGAAAAACAATAAGAATTCAGTACATGCGAATACTTTTGGACAATAATGAAAGAGCTAAGAGTAATGAGAAATTTGGCAGTTAAATTTTGATTCCCAACTTTAAAGTATGTAGATTGTGATTCCGTAAGGAACCTGGGTAATCAAAGTAAAATCAAATCCCACCCGTTCCTGCCCGTCTTCATCATCTAAAAGACTAGGTCCGGAGTTCAGAGTAAATATAGGAAAATTTATAACACAGATAGTACAAGAAATTGTATTATTGTAACATTTCAGCTTTAACAACTTTTTTATAATAATCTTTACGTTGCGGGTTGCATGTTGTCAAAGTCAACCATAGGTAGAAATTGGTCCGGATTCATTGGAATGTTCACAGTTGACACGAGGGACTGGATAAACTGGTAAGCCGTGTCACACCTCATCTTGGACTCCTTTGACCTTGTATGGCCAGAAGAAGGGTATATGATGAACCTTTGATATGTGCAGTCCCAGTCGTTCCCATAAACGGATAACATCCACGTGCTCCCATCCATGCAATGGAACTGTGCAGAGTTCACTGGAGACCCATTGGAACTCATAAGACTGCAGGGACTGCTGGTAACTGTGCCCAGCAAAGCCTAAACATTTATAGAGATATAGATAATGAGCTCTCTTCTTAGGATTGGGAAGCTGCATCTGTTAATCAAATTTAAATGAGCTCACAGTGAAAGGGCAATCAGAAGGGACAATCCCACTCATCTGCTTTTGCCAAAATAATCCTATACAGTGACAAAAATTTGGGCAAAAGTATGGACACCCCCTGTAAACCTTTTATTGGGTTACACCAGGAAAACCAAACTCAGCATACCTCTGTATGGCATAAACGTACATTTTTGTTTGGAACCCCAAAATGGGTTGGAAATTGGAGGAACTTGTTAAACCTAATTAATGCTATTTAAATAGATTTAAGTGAAAATCCAATCAGGCAAAAAGAAATTTGCTTAGTCTGCAGGTTCGCTGCGGCGGGGTTATTATACTATTTGGGAGATTGTTAGTAATAAAACTATCTCTTTAGGATTTAGAGCTTAGGTATCTAGCCAAAAGTGAGTTTTGTTGATTATTTTTTACCAATATAAAATTCTAGAAATTAATGGTATTTTATCATTGTACATTTTTCATTTAAATTTATAGGTCATATATGCTTTATGTACGCTTTGGAGTAAAGATTATAATTTTAGTTTTACCTTTATTCATTGCAAACCTATCAGACTAAACTATGTCTGAAGCCACTCTTTGAAGCCAGAGCAAAGCTTTTGTTTTCAAAAGACATAGCACTTTGCCCACCTCTATAGTTCATCCACTTATTGAATTTACTGTACATTTCTTTTAGGAATCCAAATTGATGCTCAACAGGTTAATTTTTGCACTTAACTATTCACTTGGAACTTTTATGAATTGATTTGTGTTTATTATGGAATTACTTATGTATAATTCTATTGGGTTTTAAGGGATCATTTAAGTTTCCCAGTAAAAATTCAAACTCACAATTCAAAACACAGCTTCGTGGTTTTTAAAATATTATTTTATACTGAAAAATATTATTTAATAACATTTTAAAAAGGGCATTTTAACAATATTTCAATGAGTTATAAAAAATATATTATTACTGGGTCAATAAAGTTATGATGATCTACAGCAGATATAATGGTAAATCAATAGAATACGCTGCTGTTCATCAAAGTATGAAATATTTTGGATTGTTCAATAGTTTTCCATATTATTCAACATGAAATGCCTACATAGACTTACCAGAACACATAGGCCTACTGCAAACGGTATTGCAAACATCATTGTCAATGTTGTTGTCAGACCGAGTGCTTAATTGATGTTAACAGCTTAAAAAGGTAAGTAGATTTGTCGTGGATGTTCAGTGATAGACAGTGAAATGACATCTGTCAAGTCAAATCAAATAGTTACATAAACTCGACATGTTTACACTAAAGACAAGGTGAATTTAAAATAGCTAGTACAGCTTTTTTAGTACTAGGTGTCCATTAATGAACTCTGGCAATGGAATATCCTTTCTCTGAGGAATTTATATAGTTTATAGCTTTTAAAGCATTACCAATGGTTACGTTAACATATACATGAGGTTAGAAAACTATACATATATCCTTTATCTAAACTTTTCAAATAGTTTATAGAGTTCGGCTGATGGCCAGTGTGAGTGTGGGTGTTTTGTTTTGGAGTCTTGGGTTCAAATCCCTCCAATCACCAATCTATATTTGATTCATGCGATAATGTTAAAACACACAGGTTCAAGGGGCACCAAATATATTTTCTTCAAAAAGTCCAGGTTTGTTATTTTTTACTTGATTTCATCAAACTACATAAACACACATAAAGTTCATTAAAACTCTAAATGGAATATAAAAACCGGTTTGATATCGATTCTTATTTCTACATTATCCTACATTTTTTCACAAAATAATTTTAATGGTGCACAACAAATGTAATGTTTTCTTGTTTAAAACTATAAGTAAATTTTAGGCTTTTACTTAAAAATGTTGTTTATTATAAACATTGAAATTACAGAGTATTTTATACTTCAGTCAACGGTTTGTGGCCTGCTCTTCCCTTTTTTGACCAATTTCTCCAAAAATCAGCATTACCGGTAGCCACCAATAGCTTAAGAACCTCAGAACCAGTGAAATGGAGAATCGGAGGCGGCAAGTCACTGACTGTCACTTATGCAAATGCTCATTGTCTCTGCTAACCTAAGGTCAATGCCACCAGGTGTAGATAGCCAGTCTTTTCTTTGAACTTACAATTGATTGGTGCTCTTTCCTCTCAATTGGAAGTTCAATGACCTGATAGTATTTCAGACAAGATCACAGTTGTTGTTGGATATTCTTAGGATCTGGCAAAGATTGAAGCATGCAATCTTTGGTTTGAAATTGAGTAGTCAAAAATTATTATATGTACTGATAAAACTAATAATTATTTTTTCTTATTTTATGCAAGGGGGTGTTCAATAATTAAGGTCTCCATTGAACAAACACCTGTTGAATGGTTCCAAGCTAGCTAGTTCAAATCTTACACCAAAGCCATGGTCCACTAGAATTCTAGCCAGTGCCGGCAGCGCCCAACCATTTGCGGTTAGTCTTGTCATAGTTGCTGAAAACTATGTGAGGGTAAACTGAAGCTCCCATCAAGTATGAATTACTTTCTGCTATTATTCGGTTTTTTTTTTAAAGGGGGCCAAATCTATATTAATAACTGTTTCCAGTTGAAAGATGTGCTGTATTCAGAAGTATTTACATGTAACAAATGTGCAAAAGTGGCCTTATACTTGCAAAAGGTCTTATATTATACCCCACTATATTTCATTAAGGAATGTCGCATCTTCAGGGAGATACCACACTCCAAATATATTCAAATATATCAGTAGCATGTCCTTTTTATACTGCTGTGCATACATGTAAACACTATTTATACAAAAATATAATGCCCACTACATATTTTGAGTTGACAAAATGTAGAGAAGTATAATAAGTTAATTATAAGTTCTGCAAAAACAAAGGCTACATAACAATAAGGTATAACTTGAAATGAAATAATTTCTAGTTCCCGTCACTGGGGAAAAAACAAAAATATACTATTGCTACTCGAGAACTTTTTGGCATGGTTTAACCAGTGACGTAGCCAGGATTTCAAAATAGGGGGGGTCAGACCGGGGGGGGGGGGGGGTCTGGGAACCCCCAGGTAAAAGGAGGTCCAGGAAAAATTTTAAAAATATAGGCCCTAAAACGGTATTTTTTTAGCTCTCTTGGCATTGAAAATTATCAACCCCAACGTCAATACAGTATGATTGCATAATTTTTCATTTAATTTAACAAAAAAATATTATATTTAAGACCAGAAGGGGGGGGTCCAGACCCCCAGGACCCCCCCCCTGGCTACGTCACTGGTTTAACTATCCACCATCCATCCACTGGAACGATAGCATCCACAAAAAAAAACCACAAAATTTCTAAAGTATAAACAAATAAAGAATTATTACCTCTAATTGGTTCAGAAAAATTAATGATCAAAATAAACACAGAGATTTGAATTCTTGTGTGTAAAGTATTTGAGTGACATTGGCGTGGTTGTACATTTTCCAGTTCGCGAATGCTCACCATTGTTGCGAAAAAATATGGGATCGCTTACACTTACCAATATACAGGGTGTCCATAAAAAACGTAAACGTTTCAGGACTTTGGGAAATGAATCCCCATACTATAAGGAAGAAAAAAGTTTATTGGAAGGTATGCCGGAAAATGCATATTTACCCAGATATCCGCCATTTTGTTTTTTTTTACAAAAATATTTTTATCTGTGAAGTTTTGTATTTGATGATTATGAAATTTGGTAAATATGTTAACATACACAATACCTACAATAGAAAAAATAACAAAGTTGATCCGATTGTAAATTTTAAAATGGCGGCCGTTTAAATTTTTCTAACTTAAATAACTCAAAAACGGCTAATTCTATAAAAAAAATGTCAAGAATACTTTTTTTTAGCATTTTTAATTTCCTATCAAACAATACCAAGATCAAAAAGATCAAACAAAAGATAAATAATGCAAAGTTAGTCAGGGAACCCTTAATTTTTGCCTTATTTTTACACAAAAAACGTTACATTTCAGTTATCTTTTGTCCGATCTTTATTATCTTGGTATTTTTTGATAGGAAATCAAAATTGCTAAAAAAATTTATTCCTAACATTTTTTCATAATTAGCCGTTTTTGAGTTATTTAAGTTAGAAAAAAATAAACGGCTGCCATTTTGAAATTTACTATCGGATCAACTTTGTTATTTTTTCTATTATAGATATTGTGTATGTTAACATGTTTACCAAATTTCATAATCATCGTATAAAAAACTTTACAGATAAAAATATTTTTGTATAAAAAACAAAATGGCGGATATCTGGGTAAATATGCATTTTCGGACATACCTTCCCATTAACTTTTTTCTTCCTTTTAGTATGAGGATTCATTTCCCAAAGTCCTGAAACGTTTTTTATGGACACCCTGTATATAGGTTGTTTGGAAAAAGCAGAGTGGGAACGTTCCCACGTGTTTCCGCTCCACCACACCACTGCTGACAGAGTTTTTTTTTTTACTAGAGTAGCAAAAGAAAATACTATTTATTGCGCTGTTTGAAGCTTAACAACTATCAGTAGAAAATAATGTCATTTTTTATTAGCCATTGATTACCAAAAATTTATATTGAAGACCACAAATTGAACAATGCATTTTAAACAATTTGTACAGGTACCAATTACTTATATGCTTTAGAAAATTTTTCATATTTCCACACCCTCACAAAACACCCTTCGTACTTAGACCACCCCCCTTTCCACTCCATTGTGCCAGCCTTGTTAAGCTATTTAGAAAATCGAAAGGGAAAACGTGGCAAGTTAGTGTTATTCATTTCACCAATTGACCACTCTCACCTAGAGCTTTGCCTATTGTTTGCAAATAATACCTTGATATTGAGCACTAAGTCAATGTCCCTCTTGTTTACTGTTTCAATGCATTCACCCTGGCTAGCTTGCCAGCCCATCTCATCTTAACCCTTCCTGGACAGCCTATATAATATGTATACAGACAGCTAAATTAATAAAAAAATATATTTTTTACATCTGTAATTTATAGAATGTTGTAAATATTTGACACTTTTGTCCAAAATATTTTTGTTTAGAAAAAAAAATGTTTTTTGTTAAATTTTTATTCTTTTAGAAAACATTGCTAGTAAATCTGTGAAAGATATAATTGAATAAAATACCGTTTTGATGAGGTTAATGTTGTTATATATAATCAACTAACAATAGATGTCATAATAATCGGCCGATATATCCGCCTACTGTCCGTTAAGCCCAAAATGATAGCGAATATATCCGCCTATAGTCCGGGAAGGGTTAAGCAGAACTGCGACATGCGTCTAGCAGTGGGGGCCCTAGAGATTGCGGGGCCAAAGGCGAAGTTCAATAGCGGGCCTCTCTTAAAACCTGAAACACGGCTGTGCGGGGTCCCAGGCACCACCTTGTTTACCTTTATGTAAGGCCGCCTCTGGCATTTAAAATAGTGAAAATAAAGATTCTAACTACATTAACCAATTATTCTTGTCCTAAATACACACAACATTGCATGTCTGGACATAAATAAAGGCAAGATTACGATTGTACTGATAGGTGTCAGGCCATGTAAAAGGGTCCCCTTGTTTTAGGAGGGACTATTATACCAAATGATCTTGAATGGTTTGTTTTTTTTTATTGTAAAGGGGGTTTTAAACCTTCATTTCATTTTCTGAAAATAAGAATATTTGTCTTGTTATAGTTGCAGTGTAATAACCAACCTATTTATTTATTTTTTACAGAATATCATTACATCATAAAATGACAGGACATTTTTCAATACTGTACAGTATTAAATACTTAATAGTAATATTCAAAATCAAAAGAATACAATTTTTATGTTCAGTCCTCCAAATTTCTACTTACCAAAGTACACACACTTTCCAAAGTATATACACTTTTCTAATTTCCAATTACACATACTAGCTGACATCTCGTTTGATGCACCCTGGTCAAACCACCATCACCACCACACCACTGTGAATTACCAGTGAAGGTTTAATAACTAAGTGTGCATAATTGATATATTTCCTATGCACTAAAGCATGCTAAAGCTATGCATTTTAGTAGCTTAAATTAAATTTGTTGTGAAATTTCTAATTCCAGTTTATAAAGTAAGTGATAATTTGCAACTATCTGTTTCCTCATGCCAAAGTACACATTTGTTAGGGTTAAATGCTATTAAATATTACTAAGTCCTCGAACCATCCTGTCATTCTTTTACAGTATCTATTCGACCTCCAGTAAATTAATTTGAATTCCTTTTCGACTATAGAATAGACCTACAATGCTGCCCTAAATGGAATTTTCATAAAACGAGTTATAATAAAAAAAATGAATAAATAAAACGAATTGGTACAATGGAAAGTCTAAAATGTAATAAATAAATACTTTTATTATCATATAAATTTTATAAATTATTGAAAACATCATGTTACAGCTAAAGTAATACCTGTACTTAAGTTGATAATTAACTTTCCACCGATAAAACTGAGTCTTCTCCTAGTCTTCTTCCCTCTAGAAGCATAAAAAGGTTCTATTGCATTAAGAATGCTTGTACAGCAAGCAGCAGTGGGTATATTGTTTATATAAATTAAGAAAAAAAGAGGATCAAAGACTCAGGGGCAAATAAAAGGGGGGGGGGGGTTAGGAGCACGGCCACCTTTAACATCCAGGCCGCGGTCTGGTAGAATTGGAACCGTCACAAGTATAGTGTTGTTTAGAGCCAGTCGTCCCATAAGATATGGCAGGCAGGGGATACCAGTGCATTAATTCACATATTATTCATTTAAATTTAACATAAATTTATGAACATAATTTATTAAAAGATTGAAAATAAAACATATAGAATCAAAAACCAAAACAATTATGAATTGAAAATCTATTTCTGTACATTTAAAGTGGAGTCAATATTTTCATAGCCCAGTAACCAAGCTTTTGTATTCTTAAAAAATACACAAATACCTTTAGCTGCCTCCAGACAAAACGGCTGTTACAACACTACTTGCGACGAAGGGCGTGGTTAGGAGGCCCAGGAAAACATGTTTCTGAAAATAATATTAAAGTTTTAGAAATATAATAATATTACAACTCAAGCTGAAAATCAAAGCATAGAGAAATACGGTAGTAAGATTTTACTTATTTAAGTTACCTTGTTTAGTAGCCTTTGTTATTGCAGAGTTTGTTGTTTCCTCCAATATATTTGCCACAATTTGTGGCATCTTCAAGGAGATTAATTGTAGAGATGTTCTATTTATATTCTACGGGGTGATTGACATAATTGTGCCGAATGTTTTGTTCAAAAGTTATAAAAGAAATAAAAAAATGGTTAAGTTGTAACTGCCTTGGATTTTTTATTTAAAAAAATGTTGTCAAGTTGAAAAAATTATTTTAGCCACCATTTTTTCAATATGGCCGCCAACTTTGATATTTCTTATAGAAGACCCTATATTTTATGATTTATTAAAAAGCATGATTTAAGTAAAAGCAATTTAAAAACGTTTTTATTACAAAATAAAAACCAACCATTGTTTAATAAAAATCCAAGGCAGTTACAGTTTAACATTTTTTCATATCTTTTATAACTTTTGAATAAAACAGCTGGCACACTTATATAAATCATCCTGTATATACTATACACATCGGAACAACGTTGTAGAGTTTATGTCCCATATTTTCGGGTGATGAATATTTCTAGGCATGCACTGTCATTTGTTCACTGACCTACTGCGGGGGATTATTGGAATCTCCCTGAAGTTGCCACAACCGTGGTAAAATATACTGGAGGAAACAACAAACTCTGCAAGAACAAAGGCTATCAAACAATGTAACTAAAATCATTTAATTTTCTTGTTCTTACCACTTCGAAATAAAATAAAATATATTTTTCAACATTTTCCATCAATTTTTGAGTTGTTTTATATATATTTCAATATCTTTCACAAATATAACGGTATACACAAGTGGAGGTCAGTTAGTCACCCTAATTTTCAATTCAATTAGGATGCATCAGATTAATATTCATGATTTATCATTGTTAACAAGTTGGATTCCCCAGACATTCACTCAGTTAGTGACTTTCCCGGTGTCCAGTGTTTCCTTCAGTTGACAACTCTGTGGATTCTTTACTCAAGTTCAACTCAAGTCTTAATAGGTGAGTGGACAATTCAGTAATATATCCTACAAAAAATTTCTGTCACAATCCAACACATTGTCGCTTTAGAACAAGGTATAATCATCTACAATGATCTGTTTTAAATTCTACTGGTATAAGCCCAGGGTTTCCTTTTATATAACACAGTATTTCTGTAACTTTTACATCATAATCACTACATCATGGAAATAGCATGCTGGGTTCATAAAAACCAGCCACCTTTTAGGGAGGCCTAAAATGAACATAATTAAAATATATTACCAGAAATGAAAATATCATTAAACATGTAGCTCACAAATTACAAAATATTCCAGCCATCCACCACAATACATTTGTCCAAACACCTTTGATAACTTACCAAGAAGTTTAATTACCCTATAAAATCCATCAAAGTTTAGACTTTCTCTTAAAGAAATTACTTTAAGTCCATATTTAGCAAAATGCATGTAGTGGATTTAAACTTTTTTTCATTGGCAAACTATTTATTTGGCTGCTGAAATTAGGCATGAATCATTCTACCCATTTTCCACCAAACTCATTTTTTGTAGGGTAAATTTGATTTTTTTCCTCTTTTATATTTTTGGAAGGATCAGTTTTTATGTGAAACAGATATTTAAATTTTAAGTCTCAGATTAACCGTAAACAAAATGTCCTTTCAATTATATGATGTAGTGACATGTTATTAAGTAAATCTATAAATAAATTAGGTGAAGTGAATATTAATACTTTTCACCTAATGTCACCACTTGGGCGATTGGTCCTAAAAAAGGATTTCTATTACTGGCTCTACTTGATGCGTGTATTGGTGGGATAAAGCATTGTGGCCCACCGATCTAAGAGATTCAAACAAGTTAAACAATCAACTGATTTCTATTCAATGAGTTTGCAGACAGCACCAAAATCTTTATTTATATTAAAATAAAGAATTATATGCAATAAAACCATACTCTTAAAAAACTGGAAAAAATATAAATGTACACACATTTTACATGCTTATTGAATATAATTTTCATATTGATATTAGCCAATTGAGCCATTCTTTAGATTTGGAAAAAATTGTTTATTTATAAGATCATTTGTAATCTGTGACTAATAATTTTGTTATTAATCAATATAACAATCAAAGTAATGACAACTAACAAGTATAGAACCAAGCAAGTATCAGACAATGAACAAAAGACTATATTTCTTTATTTACATAGTCTATTTGTTGATAATAGTATAGGCGTCAACGGTCAACAATTACAAACCTAATTTGGTTTACATCTTACGTAATAAGAAAACTATTTTCTTTGATCACAAAAATTCCAATTCAATCCAGACTATAGAAAGAGAATTCAATGGAATGGTATTTATTAGTATTATCCATCTATATTAGATTTATACTAAATTGATTAGGTACGGTACCTATTCTAAGTCTTTAGGTTTTAAGTACAAATCAATCATCTATACTTATTTAATATGCAAGCAAGTTTTTTGTGACAATTATTACTCCTCCGAAACTACTGAACCGATTGACATGTTTTTGGTTTCATTGGAAAAAGCGTAACATGAAGTTGTGCAGGAAACTTTCTTTTTAGGGGAAATAATTAGAGAGTGAGGCCCTGGGGCCCTTTAAAGTTTCGTATTTCTCCTTAAGATTAACATGGGAAATAAACATTGTTATGCAACTCCAGCTGTTGACAGCTCCATGGAAGCATATTGAGAAAATTCACAATGTTTACTTTTGCTTTTACATTTAAATGTAAACAACCAACAATGTCAAATGCCTATTTCACAATTTCAGACAGCTGATCCAAAAGAAAAAAATAAAACATTTTACACAACTATGTGGTAGGTTTATTTTAATCTTAAACTTTGTGATGGATTATTTATTCTAAATCTATTTCAATGATTATGAAACAGATTTTTACCCGCTGCGAAGCACGGGTACAGCAGATAGTTTTAAATAAACTATGATGGATCATTGGAGACCATGATTTTAAAGAAATCTAAACAGAAGGGCATGTGTGAGAATTGTCAATGAGAACCCCACTAAAATTACCATAAATACCTATGTATTGAGTTGATTATATTTAGCCTATTATTTTATATTTGCTCTAAATTGATTTAACTTTGGTGTAAAATATGTTATTCACGACATTAGGCAAGATAATAACAACAATGGTATGATTCTCCAATTCAAATTTACACTTTGTTTAAAAAATGGGTCAACAATGTTTTGTCAGCAATACATAAACTACAGTGAAGGGTAACTATCTCAAACATAGTGTAACTTAATAGTTTTAATTTTCCAATCGCCATAAATAATACTGCAATACAACAAAATACAAACACAATAAATCTTGTAAAATTTTAAAATATACATAGGGCCTACATGCAAATACAACATACTTCTATAGTTAAAAGTAAGCCAACAAAATTATACTAAAACACATTATTTTTTTTCTTAATCTTAATCACATTTTGAGCACAATCTTGTTAAAAACACAACTTATTATAAATCAATATACAGTACTTACTTAGCCTACAACAGTTGTGATACTGTGGTACTAGATTGTAGTAACACATCAAAATAAATTGTCCTTATAATACTATAGTATTATTTTATATAGTCTCCTGGCACATCTTCAATCAAAATCTTCATTAAAAAGGACTGGTACTTTGGGATTATACCATACCACCCACACCTAATAGACTTCCAAATAAAATTTAAATTAGTTTAAAAACCCAAATTTTCCAATTATAACCTAACCTAACAACCCTAATTTAGGGTTGGCTACTGTTACTGGTCAGGTTGTTAATTACTAGGTGTGGTCGGTATAATACCAAAGTAACTTTGGCACTTGTATACCCTCGATGTATAACTATTATGTATGTATTACTATTAAGTTAATCAAGTTACAATTGATTTATAATATTTATTTACTCTACTGGATAGCGCGCTAGGTGGTGGAAAAACGGTCCGTGCCCGCCAATCGAATTGGCGGGATACCGAGGCAGACGGGCCGATTGAACCTCTCTGTTTTACACAAACATACATTCACTCAACCTGCTCTGCTGCTCTGCTACACTTATTTGTTAACATAAAAATTTCAAATTGATATATTATTTTTCTGGAAAAACCAGTGCTCATTACTATGTAGCTAGTTTTTACATTAACATATTTTTTATAATTTATTTAGGCAAATTAAAACAGATGATAGTTTTTAACACCATTAAAAACATGAAAAATGTAGTAAGTGAGGAACTTTTTTATTTTTTGGTCAGGAAAAAAATTCCTGTGGCAAAGTTTTAGATCAAAGTATGAATTTTATTTTTTAATTGAAGCTTTTTTTTTTGATACGGAGCCTGCTTGTATCATTTTTAAGCGATTAAAAATAGGCATAAAATCGCTTGGCGCGGCATTGGCGCTAGGAGCTCGGCCGGCTCAGCATCAGTTTACGGACTACTGAACACAGTTACAGTTTAGAAACTGAGTTTCTAGCATTTAATTATCATTATATTACATCAAATATGTCATTACATTACGAAGAATGGTAACTTAATTTACAGGCGTATGTTTGTGCATTTTAATGCTTACCGGTAGTCTATAGTTAACAAAATTCTTTGAATCAAAGAATAAATGTTGGATTTCACAGTAGTATTTAATACCTAAGAAAATCAGTGAGAATAATGAATACATTTGAGATATTGTCATTAAATATTATACACTCATTTTATTTAGCAACATAATATGTTTTCCAAACACGTATGACAAAGAAACATATTTGTCATACTGATTACATACTAAAAAATAAACAAAATATATATTCTTAAATGATCCAAAGTCTCTCAATAATAATTGGGCCTCACCAAAGCAAATGCTGACATGCATATGTGATCAAATAATTATTGTGATATACTTTGCTCTGGTTAATGTTCAAATATAAATAAATCTAACTCTTCTATATCACCACTACATTTCTTATGAGATTTACTTTTGACACATAGTCTATAAAGTGTGAGCAAGTACGTAGATTAATTATATCTTCTTATAAAACCTCCTTAAGTTCATTACAATCAATTATCCTCGGAATATTTCCACAAAACTAACATAGCAATACACGGCGAGAGCGGGCGCGACGCTCGCCACTAGGGTGACTCATGCCTTTATCCCCACTCCTCGCGGACAGAGCGAGGTAGCGACGGACCGTTTTTCGAGCCCTACTTCAACCGGGTCGCCGGAATTTTATCCCCCTGGAATTTTACCCCCTTGGCAAAGCTGACGTCACTATGACGTAGTAACCTGAGTGGCCAAAAGTTTGTTCGCGGCCGGAATTTTACCCCCGCGGATTTCGAAGTCTAATGAAAATAGTCAGAGGGTGATTAATTCAATTAGCGATAAAAACCGGAATTTTACCCCCTGTCCATATAACTAGTGTTTAGACAACTGAAATGTACGGGCCGGATTTTTACCCCCCGGAATTTTACCCCCGGAATTTTACCCCCAGAATTTTACCCCCCGGAATTTTACCCCCGGAATTTTACCCCCGGATTTTTACCCCCCGGAATTTTACCCCCTGGCCGATTTTAGAAATTGAATGATTGGTTTTCTTATTTCTGTTTTTAATTAATTGTAAACATTTCATTATTTATTTGCCTATTTTTATTTATTTATTTTGTAATCTCATTCAGTTGATTGTATATACGTCATATTAACCAAAAGTTGGCTTCAAAGATCGAATCCTAATACTTGAATCTCAAAATTAAAATTAAAAACATGTTCGATTAGTTAATGTCACAAATAAATTAAGATAGGCTACTTAATAATAAAATGTTTACTATTAAATTAAAACAGAATGGAGATAATTAATCATTCTCACTAATTTTTATATCTAGCCAGGGGGTGAAATTTTGGGGGTAAAAATCCGGTGGGTAAAATTCCGGGGGTAAAATTCCGGGGGGTAAAAATCCGGGCCGTACACTCTAGGTTTTTATAATTTTATGTGTTCTGATTA